GCAACAGGACTTGGTCAAAGACTACAGCTTGGTTCTCAAGGTGGTCAGAGGCTGCAGACATGCAGCAGGAGATGGTCTAAGACTACAGCATGGTTCTTGAGATATTTAGAGACGGTAGACATGCAACAGGAGATGGTCAAAAACTATTTGAGAAGGTCAGAGACGGAAGACATGGAACCTGAGATGGTCAAAAACTATAACATGGTACTGGAGTCGTTAAAGACTGCAGTCATGCTTCAAGAGTCCTAGATTGCATAAATCCAAGAAATACAGTGCACTTCATACCACACTGAGACCCAATCATAAAAGGTTGTTATGGTGAATTGGTGGATGGCGACGCCACAACAGTCACAATCCAAGCTATCACCAGCACACCATGTTCAGATGAAAAGACAACACTGTTTATTGTGCCCAACAGGAAGTGCCGTTTCGAAGCCACTAGGAACCTCTTTCTTCCCATCACTGCTGCCTGAAGAAGAGGACCCTAGTTGCCTCAAAACGTCACTTCCTGTTGGTGACAATAAGATGTCCTCTCTTTTCATCTAGTCATTGACTACAGACTCATTGCATAAGACTGCTAGAGATCACTGGGATAGAGGAACACACACTACTGTCTGCAGTGGCACCAGGGGCCACACAAAAAGTAGCAAAGGGCTACATGTGGCCCCCATGCCAGAGATCGGGCATCAGTGTTATAGAACAACTACAGAAAGGATGGTAGGATGGCCATATTGTAGGAAAAAAGAGAACTTCACTTACCCAGGTCATGCTATAGCTGGTAGAATTTAGTTATGTTCCAGTGGAATGATTCTGTAGCTTTGTAAATAGCATTTCACTACTTGTCCATGTAGCTTTATCAGTGAGTGGTGACACTTAATTTTTAATAAAGGTGCATTGAATAAAAAGCCAACACGTTTCAGCTGTCCCCTTCATCAGAGCTAATACAATGATTTATAGGTGATATTCTTACAGAACCTATAGAAGTTAAAGTGACATTAAACCCTCAGATTTTTTAACATAAAACAATAGTGTAATGTGCGCCTTACTGTAATCCATGGTAGTTTCCCTTCTCTTTGCTGCTCTTCCTTTTAAATCTGTATCTGTTCTCATGCTGGGCAGAACATCTGTTTTGCAGCAGACTGCCTTGTCTCTGAAATGGATACATGGTGTCTGTGTGTAGGTTTGCAACCTGAGCCAGCACTACAGGAAGAGGCACTCAGCTGCAAAGGGAAGTTCTCCCCAAGCATGAGAAGAGATGAGGATTTAAAAGGAAGAGCAGCAAAGAGAAGGGAAACAACCATGGATTACAGTAAGGCGCACATTACAGTATTGTTTTATGTTAAAAAATCTGAGGGTTTAATGTCACTTTAAGTTACTCGTACATTGGATTTACATAATCATATTCAGTACCTAGGTAGTCTATAAAACATTTCAGTCAAGTCTACCTAAATATATGACTGCCTCTGTCCTCAGCATACCTGTAAGATAATCTGAGATACGAGCCACACAATAGACCCTGTGTACAATAGAACCTTCTACATGAGATAAAACACCTAACCAGAATCTCATCCAAGGACATGCTGTTCACATGGTATTTTTGCCACTAGATGGGACTGAGAAGCATTCAGCCAGCATATGGATTGGTGGTTGATTTATAAGTCATCCCCTAAGTGATACAGCACTATACACAGGGTCGGATTTACTCTCCCTGCCGCCCCAAGGCCAGGTTCTGCACCCCCCGTGCCCGCCGA